GATGGCTGCAGTCTCACAATCAAACTGACATGGAGCAGAAGTCACTTCTCACGATGAGCAAATAAGTGGTTTCCCGAGGTGGAACCTGCCCCTGGTGAAGATGCTGTGAACTTTGTTGAAGTAACAACCAAGAATTTAGAATATTTACTTCAAATTGGTTGATAAAGTAGCAACAGGTTTGGTATGACTGACTCCAATTTTGAAAGATATTCTGATATGAGTAAATGCTATTAAATAGTATCTTGTGCTATAGAGAACTGCTTCATAAAAGAAAGATCCCATCTGCATGGCAAACTTCACTGCTGTCTCATTATAAGAAACTGCCACGGCCCCCCCAGGCTTCAGCAACACCACCCTGATCGGTCAGCAGCAGCAACATCGAGGCTTACCACCAAAAACACGACTGTGACTCAGTGAAAGATCAAATAACTGTTAGCATTTTTTATCAATAAAGTATTTTTTTAGACATAATGTTACTGCACATTTAATAGATTGCAATAGCCAGGTGTGGTAGGTCAGGTCTGTAATCCTTTGGGAGGCCAAAGAGGGAACGTTGCTTGAGGCCAGGAATTTGTAACCAGCCTGAGCAACATAGTGAGACCCCCATCGCTACAAAAGACTAAACACGTTAGCTGGCCATAATGAGTGGCACGTTGTTCCTGTACTCCCGACTGCTCCAGATGATCACTTGAGCCTGAGAATTTGAAGTTACAGTGAGACATTGCACTCCAGCCTGGGCGACAACGCCCCATCTCTTAAAACAAGTAGACTGTTATAGTTTAACTGTAACTTTTATATGGACTGGAAAACCAAATGATTCTTGTCACTTGCTTTATGGTGACATTCTCTTTATTGGTGACTGAATCCTCAGTATCTCTGAGGTCTGCCTACACCATCGTATAGGAAATATCTGGATCCCTAGAGAGGGTTTGGAGCAGCCAGCACAATTACACCATGCCACAACTTTAAAGACAAGAAGTCCAGTTCTACAAATAAGTCATTCTAAAGAAACTTGAAACCAAATACAGTTGACTAGTAGTAATTATAAAGTCCCACAAACACTAAATTAGCAGCTTCTAAAGCATTGCTCCCAGGGGAAACACAGATTAGATTTCTGCAAACCTCTGGTCATGTGTTCATTAACACATACGTATTTTGTTTTAGGTGTTTTTCTACTGGAGGACACCCTATTTTATGTGTATTGTTAAATCATAACAATTGAACTCACGGCCAGCAGGTCTATCTTCTCAGTAAGGTGCATCATAGCTTCTTGCACTTGGGGGGCAGTGCACAGCACCTCTTTACTACGCTTCCTGGCCACTGTGAGCAGAGTCATTACCAGCAAGTACGAAAATGTGCAAAACATGATATTAATAGATGGCACAAAGGACACGGCTCACAATATGAGCGCTGGAATAAGAAGACAGAATGTATCTCGTTTGACCTCAGCTTAGAAGGTGGACATTGGGAGACTCAAATTTTTTGACACTCTCCTCTCTCTGCACAGACCGTGAAAGGGACACAGGGATTGATCTGGGGATCACTCATGACGTTTAGGCAGAGGCCAAATTCACAAATACAGAATCTCATCTACAGATAAAGAAGACCAACCATATTTCAAAGAAGTCCATAGCTTAATATTGATGGACTGCTTAGGTAAGTGGGATTCATAATGAAGCAATCAACTTTCTCCCAGTGTTAAAACCAGAGAGTGAGGATGGACAGTAAGGACTAGCAGTGGCTCCTTCCAGAACAGGTTTGGTCCTGTTCCACCAGAGATTGTGAGAGCTGCTGGAAAGCTACCTCACCACTGAGACCTAATTCTCCTTCTGTAAAGTAGCTCAGCAACAGCAGTCACAAAAACTGTTCCAGAGACGAACTTAGATATCAGTGTGCAAGGATGGAGTTATCTCTTGTTTAGTAGAGGTTAGTCTGGGCAATTCATCAAACTTTCTGAGAAATAATTGATTTTGAGCCAGTCCAGTCAGAAGTCCATTATTTTGAATTTTGTTCAATTATTCTTTGTCTAAAATGTTTAGATAGATGGTGATTTTTCAGTGACCCAGACTTTAAGCATAGAGAAAGAATTGTGATCCTACAAACACTCTATCTGAGCCCAAACTGTGAATCCCTTCTGAAAGCTCAGTCAATGCTGATCTTTTACTTTAAACCACAATGTAATGACCTCAGTCAGCCTCCTGTCTGTATTACCATCTCATTAATGAGAAAACAGTGTAAAGCAGAATCTCGGTGTATTTTTTCCCTGTGAGCTAGTAGTTCGTTTTTATGTCTAAGAACAAGAAACTGCTCTGAAAAATACCAAGACAATTTCTTTTATACAACCAAGAGTGTGGAATCACAAACAGAGAATAAATAATACATTTCTTCCCCAAATTAATATAACTTATGACCTAGTTTTCTTCACATTAATAATGCCAGTACTGGGGGAAGAGATGAGGAATTATGAAATTTGACAAAAAGCACAATTATATGGTCTAACTGATCATGTTATTACCAATTGTTCACCAGTTAGCCTTTTGGTTTGTTCATTTTAAATTTGAAAATAAAGCCATGTTTTTGCAAAACATTGGTTAAAATGTAGCATTTGCCTTTCCTAAAAACTCCCAACTTATTTCAAGAAGCATCACGCTTTTATCAATACATACTGTATGTTTATTAATTCTATCATATGCCAGCTTGAATAAATCAGCTAAAGGTACAATTAAAGTACTTGATCTTTTATACGCACTTAGAAGCACAAATGCATCCCCTGAATAATGTTCCTTGATTGCACCTGTGAGGTTTTCCGCTCTCCTCTTTCCCCTCCTCTCTTCTTGATTTTCAATGACTTTCACTTCTCTCTCTGCCAGTGTGTGCCCACTGATTAGTTCCAAATTATTAGAGGGACGTGTGGTGTTGGTTTTTCTGTTTTTGAACTACTTCACTTAGGATAATGGTCTCCAGTTCCACCCAAATTGCTGCCAAAGACATTAATTCATTTCTTGTTATGGCTGAGTTGTACTCTGTAGTATAATACGGCACATTTTGTTAATCTCATGAACTTGGGTCTTTGTGAATTGTGCTCCTATTAACAGTCAAGCGCCAGTGTGTTTTTGATAAACTGACTTCTTTTCCTTTGGATAGACCCCCAGTAACGGGATTGCTGGATTGAATGGCAGCTCTATTTTCAGTCCTTTGAGGACTCTCCAGACTGTTTTCCATGGAGGTTCTACTAATTTTCAGCACCACCAACAGTATGAGCATTCCTTTCCCTCCTCATCAGTATCTATTTTTTTGTTTGTTTGTTTGTTTCTAGTTTTTGAATAATAGTCATTCTGACAGGAGTAAGGGGAGATTTTCATTGTGGTTTAAATTTGCATTTCCCTAATGATTAAAAATGTTGAGCTTTTTTTTTTTTTTGTCCATTTGTCTATATTCTTCAGAAAAGATTCTGTTCATCTCTTCTGCCCACTTCTTGATGAGGTTGCTTTTTCATTGCTACCTGACTTCTTTGTAGTTTCTGGATATTAGCCCTTTAACACATCATAGTTTGAAAATATTTTCTCACATTCTTTAGGTTGTGCTCTGTTGATTACTTCCTTCATTGTGAAGAGCTTTTTAATTTAATCAAGTCCCATTTATTTATTTTTATTGTTGCTGTAATTGCCCTCAGGGTCTTAGACATAAATTCTTCACCTAGGCCAATGCCTAGACAAGCTTTTCCTACATTTTTACATTTGCTTTTTTTAATTTATTTCAAATTAATATGAGGATACAAATGATTCAGATCCTATAAATCCTTTCCTACATTTTCTTCTAGAGTTGTTTGGTTTCATGCCTTACATTTAAATCTTTTATACATGGGGAGGTCATGGTGTATGGCACACCTCCTGGGAGTGGGACACAATTACAAGAGGGACTTTACTTAACAAATGCGATCGATATAACCTAAGTCTTTGTACCTCA